TCAGATATTCAGAAGATCCATTAGTGTACTTGAACTTTAGGAGCTCTTGTAGTCTCTCCCAGCTGTATGCTGATATTAAGCTGAGAACTAAGCAGCTCTGAAGGGAAATTAGGAGTGTTTTTGCGTCCCCATGGCAGCACTATTCTGAATTCAGTGGAGGGCCTTCAAACTCTTACTCTGTAGGTAAGTCTGCTTATTTACTAGCAGGCAGTGAGGCACAGTCTTTTGTCTCTATTCTCTCAAACTTGAATTGGGGAGAGCTGTGCCTGCTGCAAAGAGATTTTAATTGCTTTAAGCCAATAAGAAAATGGACAACAGGGAATGAATGGCTTATGTGCTGCTTTCCCGGGCAAAACAGCCAAACAAACGCTCCTGCTCGCACAGATTTCCTCCAATCCCACAGCCGTCTCATTGTCTCTCTCCTGAGTGCGAGCGGGAGATAGGGAGGTCACCGCACAGAGAACCAGAAGGGAGATAAAGGTCGCTCCCAAAACACACATTTCTCACCCTGAATGCAATCATTCTAAGAGAGTTTTGAAAATACGAGAAAAAGCAATAAAATAATCGAAATAAATATGAAAGGCGATGAAAAAGGAGTGAAAATAAACAAGGTGTTTTGTTGCTCGCAGTTTCTGCCGGCTGCTGAGCGTTTAATAATGAGTTTACAGCCTGTAGTTGTCTCTTGACGCACGTGTGATTAATCTGCCCATCTGGGGGGGGGGGGGGGGGATCTTGAGACGGAATGGATCATTCCTGGGTCCCGGGGCATCCTGCCACTTTGTTGCCCTGGTGAAGCCATCTGGGCCAGAGCAGAGCTAATCAGTCAAAGAGAAGCCGTGAGCTGGAACCCATGTGGCCACCTGATAACCCATCAGTGTTGCATCAGAGTCACTTTGGTTACCATGCCAGCTAAATGCCAAACTATGTCTTCAAATGTTTTTAAACACTATGCAGAGATTACTGTGGCACGTTGGGACTGAACGCATGGAACTGATAGCAGCGTTTTAAAGACAATAGGAAAGAAAAGATATCAGTGTGGCTCCATATCTGATCAACTTAATAAGTTCAGTATTGGCTGCTAAACAAAACATGGAAAATGGGGCAATCAACTCTAAAAACGTAGCTCCAGGCAGAATATGTTGTTACCCAAAGTGTAACACCATGGTACTACTTGGTAAATGAATCCAAATTACTTTCATTATCTTTGTATTCACTTTTGGTTGGCCATTTATGTGACGACAACAATGCCTGGTTTCTTTCGTACACCACCAGAATGTTTGCCTCTATTACAAGCTCATTCCAGTTTGGCACACATTTGATAACCTGATAGAAACTACAACTTTGAAGATGCCAACATTGTAGCCCACTCCTTAACTCTACTTGACGCTTTAATTAGCCAATGCAAGCTTTTTTTAATGATATTACAGCAAACAACTTCCCACTTACTAATTACAGCAGAATATGTAACAAATGAGGTCAGCATTGAGACTTCCTATTTGTATCCCGTATAGTCATGTCTGAACACCAAGGGAGCAACTTGCCTTTGAAAACAGCCGTCTGGGTTAAGTTATTAATATCAAAGACACGACAGTTTAAAATAAAAACGGAGAAACTTTGATTCAATGTGCAATCTGTTACGCCTCATTAAAAATCACCAGTCTGTTTAAAAATGACTCATCAACTCCTGGCTCAGAGACCTGATTTAGAGATCCGTTGAGGGGTAACTTAAGCTAAAAAACTGAACATATGACAACGGAATGAAAAGGAGGAGAAACAAATTTGACTTTTTTCAGAGAACAGAGGTTCTTTTCAAAGATGCTACAGAGAAACTGTGGTTTAACCTGGAGATAACTGAGCTGCAGGCTGTGCTGCTGTCGTGTAAATTCTTCTCAGTGCTAGTCTTTGGAAAGAGAAGGGAAACAATATCCTGCCCGAGTGCTTTGAGCTAAAGCTTAGATGAGGTTGCACATCTGTCATGACTGCTCACTTTCCATTGTTTTTGCTACAGCTGCATTCTTTACATTCCAGTGGCTGTGACTCCCTTTGACTCCACAGAGGAGGGAGGAGGGGGACAAGACACTCCTCAGGGCTGATTGTGTGAACTTGGTTTGTTTTGACCATGAGTCCGGAACCCAGACTCTGTCACATCTGGAACCGGATCTTTAGCCAATAAATAATATTCTAAGATCTTTTGTAGTGTCTTCAGGAAACAAACTCAAGTTGTTGAGGGGCTGAGGTCGGGCTTGGCTGCCTTTGTTTGATGCGTATTGCTGAGAAAAAAGTTGAACTAATGTTGACGTGCACAGAAAAATGATACGAATAACCACAGCTATCAAAAAGCTGCGGTTAACAAAACATTTAGTGGCCCTTTACCTTTCATCCTCTTTGCCACACACACCTCACATAAGTAAACGGGTGATTATATTTACTGTGAGAGTCACCCATATCCAACACTGAAATATAAACCATAACAAACCTTATAAAAATGAACAGAATTCACCACTTATTGGCTCCTTCATCTCTACTTGCCATCTCCCAGAAATGCCAACAGCACTTCATAGTCTGTATTCAGCAAATGGTGTCAGCAGGTGACCTTAGTGTGAGCCCAGGAGCTGTAGGGAGCACTACATCAGTAAAACAGAGAGGACGCTGGGTAACAGCCTGACCAGTGACAGGCATCAGCTGGCTTAAACTGGTCACAGCATCGACTGGGATCGATCGGGTCAAAGTATTTGACCGGGAGTCAGAGAAAGATCAATAAGGTGTTCCACATGAAACCACCTTTTAACTCAGTCAGGGGTTATGATCTCCAACTCAACCACTTGCATGTGACGTGTGTGTCAAGCTTGTTCTCTCTAGTCCAATGACATACAAGAACAGACTTTAAAGGAATGTAACAATGTGTTATACTACTGTAGCATCTTAGAAAATGATCACCAATATACAAACCAGGCCATGAAGATTATTATTATTTAAAATCGCAGCACGGCAACGCAAGATATTTGACAGTTACAACAAACAGCCAAACAAAAAGCTTGTCTCGATATTTTGAGCTCATACAAAGCACCAGGAGCAGTCGAGTTTGGCAGTCAACATCAGCTGGCTCTAAACAGTTTTGTTCTTGAATAAAGACTTTTATGTGAATAAAGTGGCCCATTTCTCCGCCCTGTGGGTGTAGTAGTGGGAGGCTCAAAAAACGTACGAGACAACACTAAATTCTATACTTTCCTAACAGTGTTAGGACATGAATATCAGCTTGCCTTGGGCCAAGCTACTGTGATAATTTGCTGAAAAACCCACGGGGGAAACAGCTTTCTACAACAAGTAGAAATGCCTCCGGGCTGCACACTGGCTGCACTGGAATGTCTTGGACGGAGATGTTTAGGGAACTGTGTATATCTGTTTGACCTCATTAGTACCGCGGGCCAGAGCTGCAGACTGCATGTGCCAAGTCTGTACTCTCCCTGCTACTTAATACACATCACTGGAAGGAAGCTTGTTTGCTAGAATGAATTGAGACGTAGGGGGGGGGGATAGATAGAGAAAGAGTGTTTGTGTTTATTTGCACAAGGATTAACTTACACTGTTGGCTTGTTGATAAGGGCGCCACAGTTGTAAGATGAGAGGATTTGGATGTTGGAGTAGGAGAATAAGGAAGTAAGTACCAAAAAGCACACACTCTACACACAGCATCTGTGAAATACTAATAACAGGTTGTAAAAATGTAAGACTCACTGTTCACTCGCTCAGGCAAAGCATGTAGTGTGCAAATTATTTGGGGTTTTGAATTCCTTTATTTCCTAGAATACAAAATCCCTGAGGCGTGCTCAAATAATCTTCTGTGCACTTGCTGCTTGTGCGTGCAGACGTGCACACATGCAGTGAGTACGCCATATCCCCTCCTCACAGAGCAGTGTGTGACTGCAGAGGTGCACAGTGCCAAATCCACGACTGTAATCTGTGACGACAAGAGGCCAGGACTCGTATTCATCCTCCAGCGCTCATGAGAGGCGGTCAGTGGAGAGCGTTTAGAAATGTCTCAACGCCTTACTGTACAGACTGCTGTCATGTGACCTAACAGAAGAGAGCACTTTCAGTGTGCGTGTCGGGTAAATGCAGGTAGGAGAAACTGAGAAGAGCAAATCGGTTCCGACAATTCAGAGGATGTTGAAGTTCATCTCATATGCATGGATCAGATGCAGCAGATTTACAGTCTATTGGCATTAAAATGTGCCGTCTTTGAAAGTGACACAGAGTAATTAAAGATGCCGATTCATCCGGGGCCAAACATTAACGGCTGTAAAGGACCTGGAACCACATCAAAGGCAGGGCTCTCGGCTAACTTCTTTCACCATCCTCCCGGAACCGTCCCGAAATACAATCTAAGCCGTCCCGAAATTAATGTGGACCGTCCCGAATTTAAAATATTAGTTTTTCTACATTATCATTAGTTAAAATCATTCAAAGTGACCTTTAACATAAATAAAACATCATACAAATCATTAGATGATAATTCATCAACCTTTTTAATTGAGTAAATCAGTCAAACACATAAACAAAGGCCAAATATATTTAAAAAAAACACACAAGCGAGAAAGTTACTCTAATATTGAATCCAATCAAGTTCTATCCAATTATCAAAAACATCCAACACTCTGTCCTGAAGACAGAAGACAGAACCCAGAGTAACCACTAACCAGGATGACAGTCTGTAACACAGTCAGGAGACCTTTACAAACTGCCCCGCCCCCTCGCACACAGACGGGGGAGAGAGCTCTCTCGTCTGGATTGGAAAGATCGAAAATAAGATCGAAAATACATCATAGACGCATTTTGTAGACTTATTGCATATTAGAAACGGAGTTGGCGAAACTAAAACTGCGATATAATGTTCATGTAGCAATAATACATGACATATATGTTTTAAATGTCTCCACTACCGATAAAAAGTCAGATAACGTCGGAGCTTAACGCTACCACTGTCTTTAATAATTCCGGCCCGGGGCCCGTTTAATACCGGGGCTCGGTACCCATCCCTACATGGGGAGAGACGCAGCATATTGCTAAGGACTAAATACGATGGAGAGTTCTCATCTCAGCCTTATTACCCATAGGGGATGAAGAGGAGTTAGTAAATAAAGAGGCCGGCGCTCCAGGGTTAGGTTCTGCTGTGCGTTTTCGTGATGTAACGTAAACAATTGCAGAATTCCTCCACGGGATGCCATTGTCATTGTACATCACTCAACGCGAAATACACACACTCAGTACATAGCTAGACCCAATAATTTGCGGGCCAGGAGTTTGCGGGCACGTGTGTGTGTGTGTGTGTGTGTGTGTGTGTGTGTGTTTCGCGGTTTGCTAAATGTTTTGTGCGTGTGTGTTTATGTTGACAAGGAGGTTTAATAACTGTGTGCTACACAAAACGTGCAGTCAGTTTCATTTTCATCGCCGTTCGTACTGTAGTAGAGTTATCAGGGTATTTTTATTTTAACTCTCGTCCCAAATTCGTCCCAAGATTATTTTTTATCCTCCCCGACCCTATTTTTTTCGGCCCCGGGACGACGGGACGTCCTTAAGCTCGAGCCCTGATCAAAGGCCTTCGCTACAATATTGTGTCTAAGCTGAATAGGGAGTTGTTTAACAGTGAAGTGATGCGGAGCTTCAGGCAACTGCAGCAGGGAATTATACTCAATTCAATCACCATCAGTTGGAGCTCAGTAAAACCCAACTGACTGGATCTATTTAATACAGTAGCATTTCCATTCTCCTCTGGACACCCCAGCTGCAGGCTTAGGGCCACTTCACAGTAAACAAGGGTCCTATTTAACCCTGGGACCCAATTACATTTTTGCAGCCCTAGTGTTAAAAACTACAGGCTACAAAATAATATAGAAAACCGTCAAAGGAAAATTGTATTGAGTTGCTTATAAATATATCAGAATTGGAAGATAGTCAGCATTTAAGGATTTGGATCATGTGTTATAAGCATGATTTGAGGATATACATTAAATATTTGCACAGAAGTCATGCAAGTGGAGCAGCTGGTACGATGTGACCGAATCACAGTTAGTTGTCTCTCTATTCAGCACTTTCTATCCATCCCACAAGTACTTTGAACCCATCCTTTCTCGTGCAGTGGAAATCTTTTCTTTTATCCGCACTGCTATGGTGGCTTTAATAGTATTTAGCCGAGAATCCTTTATGAGGCGGTAAAGCTGTGGTTGGCACCGCACGCCCATTGGGGACCATCTCGTCGCCAAGGCTTTTCCTGTAGCATTCGGTCACAGATAAGAGAAAGACACCATGCAACTCCTCTCTGCATGAGGTCTGTGTGTTGCAGGGACCAGATGACGACACCCACAATGCCCACTGGCACAGGAAGAGAGGAGGGAAGAGGCGTGAGAGGAGGTAGGAAGGCAACAAGGGAGGGCAGATGTAGAAAAAGCAAGCGGAGCGATAGAAAGGAAGCTTAGCAATGCAACGCTCATTTGCCACGCCTAATCAGAATAACAATGGGTGATTTCAAGTTAGAATAATAGAGAGCCATCACTCATCATAATGGTTGGAAGCATGGCCTTGCTGGGCTCTGCCAAAGAAACCAGGCGAGAGTCATACAGTAGTCAGTGTGTGGATAGGAGGTCCATTGGTGTGGTCCACAGAGGCTAGTGGACACTTGAACAAGCTTAGAGAAGCCAGTGTTACCATGGAGCGGCATTACACTCCACCACAGCAGTCAGACTTCACTTTTTAAGAAGGTAAACAAAGTAAGGTGTGCGAGACAACACTGTGACGAGACTAGAACCAGACTTGTATTTTACCCTGAAAGAGGCAAGCTAGCCATTCAATTGTAATAAACAAAGGATGGTTTATGTACTGTTGTATGCAGAGTGGGATGTGCACTGCTGAGGTAGCGAAAAGAATACGGGCTGACCCGAGAGACACAACAATCAAGAGCTACTGTGAACAAAAAGCTCACTACATGAAAGGGGTATAATGCTCAGTGCGTGAGCTACCTCAGTGGTTAGCGCACAAAGTCATTATGAATATAAGAGTTAGGATTAATTCTCGACGAGCAACAGGAGAGTTGTGAACAGTGACCTTTCAATGTAGTTCCACTGTAAAGAAAAAAAGAGGCACCAATCCCATATTTATGCCCGAGGAGTAAGCCTCTTCTCAGAGAACAGAAGGAGGATGATTGCGCCTTCAATTTTCTTTTCATTCTCGTCGTTTCATTAAAGTCTGTGTACCCCCACTGCCTTTTCACTGAAAGGGAATTATCAAAAGGGAGAGAAGAATGAGAAGAACAGGGCGAGGGAGCTAGAGAAAGGGATATTAACGAAGGCAGAAAGAAAACAGCGGTGCAGGAGTGAAGTTATGGTGAAACCGAGGCGTTGTTAGTTAGTTGTGGGAGGAAGGCTGGCCGTCCTGCTTCTTTAGGGATGTAGCGCTGGGGCAGGAGAGGCTAGGCGCTCCTTTGACCTTAGTCTAATTACTGCATACCTTGTGGTGAGTAACAGCAATTCTGTAGAGACTCGGGGAAGAGACGAGGACGATGTGATGCCAGACGGCAGCCCGGTGCCTTTTCGAAGCTCCCTGTGGTTCAAAAGCAGCACAGCATGGCTCTGCTGCCTGAGGGCAAGGGAAACTAGTGTGTGTGTTCTACATTTCCTCTCTTCATCACTGGCTGCAAATCTACTCTTCCCAGGCATAAAACGTAGAGATACGAGTTTCTACATTGCAATAGATTTCAGGCCTGAACGCTGATCTAGCCCAAAGCAGGATTCGTTTTCCGTCAACAGTGGAGTTTAAGTTTAGTTTTCTTCTACCAAGACCAAGCGCAGAAAGTCTGACTCAACTGTGCTGGGAGGATAGAGTAAGAGGGCATATTTTGAACAACCCATTTGTATTGGGCGTGAAGCTCGTGAAGCGTTACATCAATGTTTAAAGAAACCAAGCGCAGGGGAGAAAATAGCAGCCAAGGGCCATAGGTTATTTAAAACAGAGCATGGCTACAGCGAAGAGCCAACAGCCCGAAGATTCGTCAGCATTTTCTCCGGCATCAAAGGAGTCAGCGATCAAACACAAAACATCGATTTGATCTCGATACGTTCACTAATTTCATGCATGAATCACAAATGATTTCACATATGCCACTGTTAACGTATTAGCAGCAGCAGCCTACATTATATTATATTTAATGGATCTTTATTAATTATGTTTAATGGTCTATAAATTGCATCTATACAAATGTAATAAGTTGTAAATCACAATCCGCTAGTCTAATGGCGCGTTTCCACTACACGGCCTCGCTCGGCCCCGCTCGGTATGGCTAGGCCTCGTTAGGACTGGCTCACTTTATGGCGCATTTCCATTACAGTTTAGGAACTGGGGTAGTATCTATAGTAACGCAGTGTAGGCGGAGCCGTGACGTCATCTTCAATGAGAACCCCAGAAAAACAACACAGCCGTTAGCTGTTAGCACTCAGAGCTCACAGCTCCTCATATATGTTCAGAAACTAGACAGAAGTTAAACGAGTACAAACCACAGACTGCCTGTGTCATGGCGAATACAGTCGCTGCTTTATTTATGTCTGTAAAGGCCGTTGTTGTGAGTGTGGACGGTCGGAGCATATACTGCGTTAGCTTAGCCAATCTCCATTTAGAAAACACGCATTTTAAAAGGTTTTTCGCCTGCCGTCTGTCTGCAGACTTGTCAAAGCATTAATTCATGGTTTTTACTAACCGGTATCAGTATGTTGTTACTTCGGCATCATTTTGAAACGTGTATTACAATTAAATCACGGTCAAATATGTCCATCTTGTTGTAGTTGTAGCCCCCTTGCCAGCGATGCTCTCTCTAGTTTAGCATACTCAGCCCGACTCAGCCTCGTTGTCTCTGGCCCCAGACCCACGATTTTATGAGGCCAGAAAAACTGTGAATTAGGACCCGCCGGCCGGTACTAGGCCAAGTGGAAACGCAACCAAAGACGGGCCGCTGACGTCACAGCCCTCTTAAACCGTGCTCCGCGCTGTAGTGGAAACGCGCCATTAGTAGTTCTATTCAAATAACTTGTTTTGTCCAAGCTACAGTCTTTATAAAAAAGCAAAGGGGGAAGGATCATTTCAGAAGCTGGAATCACAACAATTTGTTGAACTTCTGCTTGACAAATGAGAGGTGATGGACCAATAATCCCATTGTAGTTCTTTTGTTATTCACATGGACCAAATCAAAGTTAGGGAAATCCAAACATCCACAGTTGCGCTTGAATGCAGCGTAATCTAAGAGGGTTGGTTGGTCCTTTGGGAAGTTGATAAAAGACACCGTGACACACCACACTGTACATTTATACCACAACATTAAGCCATGTAGAAACACAGAGGGGTGATAAAAGTGATTTTGTTCCTATTGTAGTCTCGGTTATGGATGATGATTACAATGAAAAGGTGAATCAGCGACAATAGATGTTATCCCCAGTTCTCCCTCAATTTCCTCCTTTTGTGTACTTGGGGGAAATGGCAGTGACTATTACCTTGGCAATCACAGTACATTAATCCTTCACATTGTCATCCTTGACGCCACAGCGACCTGAAACACTTGTTGTAGTCGTAAATGTGTCATTTCAGTCGAGATGCGAACGTCAAGAGCGCATAGCAAATGGCTGAAGATTGAGATTTAGAATAAAGGCTGTGACAGTGTGACACATTTAAAGGATTAGTAGTCCAACTGCTTGCCAAAAAAGATGAGCTCACTGAGTGTGTGCCAAGTTTCAAGGCACTATAAGCAGTCTGTTTCCTAACTCAGGTGGATCTTTCACATACTTCAGGGAAACTGATGTGAAAACAGTCAAGCTAGATCACAACTCGATAACTAGCAGGGAAAATATCTAGCAACCAAAATTTCAATTAATTTGACAATATTAAAATTGTAATTTATAAGACAAGATAATAAATGATGTGGCTTTGATTAAAAGTCCTCCATTCATTTGAATTCAACAATCACTATTACACTTAATTATAATGCAGAGTGCAATCAATCATTTCATAGTTTAGTTTTCTATACCATATGTTTTCCCAATATTCAGTTCCAGATCAAGATCAAATCTAGAAATCATATGGAGAAGTAACATTTGTTGTGTTCTCTAAAAAGCGTAGTTTAGCCTAGTATGTTCCTCGATTTATTTCTTTGAGAATCAGTCAGTTTGCAAATTCAGTGTTACACAAAACCAGTGTGTTGCAACGATGACAGAGACAAGGCGACGTCAAAGTGACCACTTCATCTCACTTCACTTTGTTTTGCTTTGGAGGGAAAAACAATGGACTTTAAACATTATTTTTCATCACATAAATCAATGTGTCGTCTGTAAAACAAAACATCTTCTGCAACCTGTGTCGTTTTAAAGGAAACTAAAGTCAGTGAAGTGAAATCTAACAGGATTTGAAATTGTTGGTAAAGGAAGCAAAAGTAAATGCCAAAAGATGTTTCCTTCATTCGGTGGAGGAAGTTAGAGAACAGCAAACAGCACTGCTATGGTTGCTTTTCACATTATTGTGGTTTAAATTTGATTGACAGAGTGCCACCCCTTCTCCTCTCACTGTCTGTAACCCCTCCTTCCTTCCTGTGCCTTCTCTGCATCTATTGAGCATCGGATGTGTGTCTCTCTCTGTCTCATGTCTTTCAGAAGGTCCCTTGCTCTCTGGCTGGCAATTAGGAAGGCATGAATAATGTCTGCGAGTGCAAGGACAGACAAGCCGAGCTGCGCAGTCAGTCTCTTCATCTCCCGGACCTATTTAAATGTGCCACTCTCAGCTCCCAGCGGAGAACGGGATGAATTGAGCGTGTGAATGGAATGGAGGGAGACAGAGAAAAGAGGGGGGAGAAAAAGCGATAGCGAGAGACGGTGCTGCATATGTAAAAAGCTCCCAGGAGTGACGGTGTGAGCTGGCTTTAAGCAGATGGAGGTGACCTCGCTGCAGGCAAAACTAAAAAGGTGGAGGGCGGTTGCTCAAATGAAGCTAAAGGCTAGTAAAGGACTTGACAGGAATCCCCAAAAGTCAAAAGTATCCAAAGATGAAAGTTGCCTCAAGGACATGCGAGTCCTCAGTGTTTAGACTTGTGATGCATGGACTGTTTTAACAGAGACAGTGGCGGGTTTTATTGAATACACATGCTAATAATGTGTCTCATCGTTTCTTGGAGGATCTATACTGCCTGGCGGTAAATCAATGTCTTGTTTACAGTCTTATTGCAGAGTCTTTATCTTGTCACAAACTGCTGCCCTGTCACTTCTGGACCCAAATGCTTTCTTGTAACACTGCAGTCAGATCAATACTTCAGGCTGAGAGTGTGTTTTGTGTCGTTTGGTTTCTGTGTGATATGCCACCCAATTCTCATATGATGGCTACGCTGTTATTTATTTATTGCATGGCAGGTCAAGAATGGAAAAATAGTTGCATGCAGGATCTATTTCTTTGTGAAAAATAGCGAGTTACAGTTACTTCCCAAACTCCCATCATCATAATGTTGCCATGTAATAAGCCGAGACCGTGCACTGAGGTGGTTAAGCAACAAAAAACACCTTAAAGCACATGTTGTCTTTTTTTTTTAATTCTGTTTGTGTACATATTTAACAAAAGCCAAACAAGATGTTAATAAAAGTTACCATATATTAAAATATTTTGTTTTTACTTAAAATACATTTAGCTTTTTTTGGACTGGCACATACATTTCTTAATAATAATAATAATATAAAAAACACAATAGATTTGTTCAACACAAAAAACAAAAGGATACAGCAATACAATAATATTGCTTCTTCATTGTTAAAATATTATACTACATGATCATCACATATCTTATTTTCATAGAAATCAGCGGAGAAGACTTAACCAAACTGACGTTTTTAATATCCATGCTATTGTGATTCCATATTGTAAAAAAGGTAACGAATATTTTCTTTCCGTTTCCAGGGCAACAAAAGGAAGCATTGTGTTTTGTCAATCTATTGTCATTCATTATCCACCATTTGTAGAAGAGATTAGCCTTAACAACAACAAAAAAGTCCATCTTGGTCCAAACCTATTCCACAGAGAAACACACACACTGAGATGGACAAAAATCCAAATACTTCTCTAACACACACACACACACACACACACTCATCCATGTCGATTAAGAAGACAAAGCTTTTTGATCCTCGCCAAGAGACGGGCAGAGGAGGACAGACCAACCACAGCAGCCCTCAGAAAAGCTTTAATCGCTCGGTATTGATTGTTCCCATTTTTGGTGAATCAGCAACAACTAGTGTGGGCTGAGGAGTTTTCTTAATATTCCTTCTCTCTGAGAGCAGGTCAGCCAATTTCACCCTCCCCAAAATATCCCATTTAGATCTCATTTATATTCCTACCAGTGGCAGGGGTGCAAGAACATTCATTTTTCCCCACATGAAATATGAAATCTTACAATATCTCCCTTCTTATCTACGGGGGAGCGACTATGAGAATGCAATCAATATCTCTTTAGTGATTCATCACGGCTTCTCCACCCTGATGTTTACTCTGGCTTCATCATCTGCCTACAGGGTAGGAGGGCCTGCATTTATTCCTTTTTGTGACTTGGTTTGGATAAAAAACAAAAAAAGATATCCAAAAGGAGGCTGAAAACAAGACTGCTCTACTTGCAAGAAAAATAGTACTTGCCTAGAGATGACAACATTGATTTGTCGGGTCAAAAGAGTGTAATTGAGGCTTGACGTTTTGCAACAAATGAGTGTTCCTGTAAGATAAATGACACATCCCTAGTGTAGCTCCGAGCAAAGCCGTTTACTTATACAGTTTGCTGGAGATAAATCATTCAATATCAAGTGTTCAAAATACATTAAAGACACACTTACAGCTGAGGTGTCAATGTCAGTGTCAAAAACATCAAGCTAGTAAACAGATGAGTGTTAAAGTGGCGCTGTCTTTTATTCATTCTAATTAACAACCTCACACTGCAGAAGCTTCATTGTAATTCATGTTTGCCAAAGTCATCCATCAATCATCAAGCTATACGCACGTAAACACAAACCTTCCTGCTTATATTCTAACTGGGGACAACATTGGAGTGTTGTGCAGTCAGATTGTAGATGTGTTTGATATGAGGGTACTCGACATCCTTGTAAACATGAATGAGGAGTTTACCCTGCCTTTATTTGGCGCATGGAGAACGCCAGACTCATCACAGTTCAAGTTATTGTGAGGGAAATATGTACGGCCATCTGGAGGGATTTTCACACAATGAAAAGAAAAGAAAAACATTTTGAGCATTCGTTTTAAGTGTTGTTTCACTTTGTATGGGATTTCCAAATAAAATACGAAACTAATCAAATGTGAGAAGTAGGCTACGGTATGCTTATTTCAACCATTTCTTAAAGGGCCCATGTCATGGCCATTTTTACTGATCATAATTCCATTGTTGAGGTATACTAAAATAGATTTATATTGTGCAATTTTCCAAACTCACATGAGTGCTCTGATTGGTCGAGACGTTGCGAGGCTCGTTGCTGCGATCTGCTGCGAGGAGCAGACAGGCTTCCGGGTCGGCGATACAGCGAAGAACAAGCGAAACTCATCCTGAGCACACACAAACACTCACAGCCGAAGTAAAAACAATAAGTGTGGCTTGATATTGAGTAAGAAAAAGGTTTATAACGCTGTGAGAATGGGTCTGCGGAGAGCATTTCTCGACTTGCTATAAAAGCAGCTGGCAGCTTTTTACTTCTCCCACAAGCAGCAGCAACATGAATGAAGCCCTGCACATCCCCTCAGATAAACCTGAGTAGGTGCATGATTACAGACACAAGGGAGGATTGGGAACCGACACTAAAACAGATACTGCGTGCACACACTGTCTCTCACTCATGTATAATTCATTGTAATAAAAAGGTAAAAGGCTCTTTTCTATTCTCAGTCTTTTTATGTTCTGGACACAGTTATTTATAGGGCTTAGATAAAGGTGAAGTCATCAAATATGTATTATAACCTCTTCCACAGCATTGAAGGGAAAGCATTATTTCTAGATAACTTGATACACTCAGTTAATGCCAATGCAACGGACTATAACACAAGTGTAGTCTGACTTTTACTCGGACATATCAAACGTTAGCAGCTTTTATCAAATATACTACAAGTTATGGCACTCTTTAATGGATTATTTTAACTAAATCCCCCGTGCCAGCCCTTCAATTTTATTTGGTTGAATTAGTATTATTAATAAGTATTTATTTAGTTATTTTTCTATTTAATTGTT